CGCCCTCGCTGTCTCCACACAAACATACACATACATACTCCTGAAACTCATCCCATCAGCAGCTCAGGCAGCATCTGTCAGCCTGTCCATCAATGCGCTCGCAACCTTCAGACTTTTTTTTCATTTTTTGTGGTAATAAGAGTAGGAAGTAGCGAGCAGGCGGAGGAAGAGCGGTGCAACAATCAGGAAGAAAAAAGGGGAAAGCATGTGATGCATACCAACAAATTTTAATTGTTTCTGCTGCTTAAACTTTATCCACAGGGGAGATATGAATTAGCATAGCTATACTATATTTTCCTACCAATGTAATTGCTTGAGTTGACTTTTTCATACAGTAAAGCCTGACACCATGAACCATGCCGAATTACTCGCACATGGACTTCTGCAGTAGCTCAAGACGTCAAATGAAAATGCCCTTTTTTCTTCCTGATTGTGCCGATTTACACTTGTTGAGTGGTCAAGTCACTTTTTGAATATTTTACATCCCATGCAGTTCATCTTCACATCAATAGGTGGCTTTTCCACTGCAGGAACTCAAGGCAGCTGCAAATATTTACAGGAACGCCATGTGTAATCTACCTTTCAGTCTTTCGGGTTCCATTGCAGTAAAGGACCCAACAGCTTTAACATTAACTCTAAGTGCGTCAAAACAACAACGAATCAGAACTAACAGACCTGAATGAGGTTCTGCAGTGGCGGGTTGGAGCAAGGTTGCACAACATACACCTGTAATTGTACATTATTAGCTCTCATAGTTGTCACAATGGTTACTGGTTTGTATTTCTGCCACAAAATTCGGAATCACAACTGACCTGAACATAGTTTGGACACCAAGACTATGCAAAACTAACTTCCTGCAACAAATAAAAAACGAACAATCCGCACTTTCAAAAGAAATTATCCTCTCAGGTGTTTTGAATCCATCCGAGGTCCATCTACACTTATTAAAGCTGAAATGATATATTGGTTGCACAATGTTCTCAGCTGATATTGGCCTATCGCAGATATAGCAGGATTAGTTCATATTAAAATCTTTCTTCTACAGAACTTCATACAGAAAAAGATGCTTTTAGTAACTTGGAATTGGTGTCATCACATAGTTCGTCCAGCAGAGCAGCTTTGGTTCCCCTGTTCACAATATTCTCAGCACCATCTGCAGCACATGTAGCAGAGTACACATCACTGCAGCGGAGTTCAACTTTGTCTTCATTACAAGGTACAAACTTCTGTCAGATTCATTGCTGCAAAGTTCATAAACAACGACACCTTAAATTTCCCTTTGGAATATAACTTTTATATAAATATACATATATAAACAGTACCAGCCAAAATATTGATATCAGGATTTCTTGCTCCATAAAATCAGTTTCAGACCTAAAAATGCTGCATCAGGCAGAAAAGAAAGATCTTCTATTTATTTGAAGGAATTCTCACATTGGAGAAGCTGAAACTAGATAAGATTTGGCATTTGTTCTAAAAACAAATAGCCTAAACACGCAACATAAATGAGATATACTCTTATTATCTTTCTATGCATTTGAAAATCCACAGATTCCAACAGCAGGACTGCCATCATTAAACTCTCATTTACTGAGGGGAAATGAAAATATATAAAATAAGAATAAAGGAAGCGAAACATAAGCTTGGCGAGATATGCTCTAATGATATCTCTATCTAGCCCTGTAGCAACAGCCTTTATTGTAAACTATAACAAACAACAGATCATTAATTTTATCTGAAAAACCATCTGCTGCAACCACAACATCCACTGCTCCCATTCAGTCAGCAAGGAACAGGTTTTGCAGGAAAAACAGATATGAAGCACATTCCAATTACTCCTGCGAAAAAAAAAAGAAAATCCATAAAGTATCTGCAGCATTTTCCTCCTCACCAGTGTTGTGTGCAGGTGTGCAGACTTTGCAATTACGCTTTACTAACAAGGCTGAGTCACAGTGACACGGGGGGGAAAATGTAAAAGTTGAAGCACCCCCCCTCCTTTCTCCTTGAAAGTCTGACGTCATCTTCTGCCCACCGAACAGCAGGTTAGCATGTGCACAAAAACACGCGCGCAAGAACCCGCTAATGAGGTTCTAGGCCACAGCAGGGTCATCCAGCACTGACAAAACACATCGGGGTCATGCTTAAAAAAACACGCCTGCAAGCGCTTAATTGTGGTTGGGATTGTGTTGCAAAACTTGTAAGACAAGACAAAACCTGTAGTCGACAAGAAACTAATTAATACAAAGTCATTAGAGTGTCAATATTTGACAGGACATCCAAATGTGAAATTATCCCGCAGCCATAAGTGGAATAAAAGTACTTTATAGGCTTTTAAATGTCTAATTTTATGAAGGGAATCCTGCTCAATTTCACAATAAGTTACTGTAATGTGCTTTACTAAAAAGAATTATCAACATGATTATCATATTCTTTTTTCCTTGTTTATTCTGTGTCTTTGCAAGCTTCAAGAGAAGAAAAATCTGTTGATAATCAGTTGTTTTGATCCATCAATATCTACAATACCAGGATACTGTAAACATACAACGCAACATGCACATCAAAACACCAGCAAGGAAACACACAAATCCTCCTCAGCTACTAGTAATGCTCTCGTCGTAAACATGCGGGTTAGTTAGTTGGATAGTAAGTCGAGTGCAGCAGTTGACATGACAGCTAGCCAACACGCCTGCAGGCAGCTACACACTCACACGCACACACACACATAAATCCCTTAGCTCAGTCGGTTCCCATCCTTCTTATATGACACGTATTTCAGAATAACACACACACACACTCTGCCCTGCAGCCTTTTTAATCTAAGTGTGTAAAAAAAACATGCATGTGTGTGTCTGTGTGTGAGGGATTGAGGGTACAGTTTACGTGACGTCACTGGTCCATTCATGAGCAACACCCCTCCTCCTCCTCCTCTTCCTCACTACGTAGCTGCTAATGCGATACAACGCACCACGTGGGGGTCCTTACCCCCTTTTACAGCCAATCAGAGCTGAGCGCTTAGTGCAACAGACACAAGTACGCACGCTACACACGTGTGCGCACGGACACATGTGAGGCTTAAAAGGTCTGCATGCTCGAGTTTCACATGACATACTGTTACAGTAGGAGGAGTGGGGGGGGGAAGCCGATACATTCCCCCCGGCTAGTGCTGCCGAGTCAGATGATGAGAGAAATCAGTGTAAAATCTTGATCAAGACATGAAGGATGGATTGATGGAGGGATGGAAAAAGTTGTGGGTGTGGAAGGATGGATGAGAGGGAAGGCAAGAAGGGGAGAGATGGATGGAGGGACTGAAATATGGATGACTGGCTGGAGGGCTGTCATCAAAAAAAAAAAAAAGAAAAAGAAAAAAGATGGATGCAAAATAAAAACAGCTCTCATCCCTGTTCACTTGCTTTGTAAACAACCGCTGTCTCCAGGCGAGAGAGGAGAGACCCAGGGGAGGGGAGGAGGAGAGTGAGTATGAGTGAAAACAAGATAGCACTGCATCAGGAGAAGATATGAAAGAGCGAGAGGGGGGGATAGAGGGATAGAGGGATAGAGAGAGAGTTGTTATGCCCCCACACACCATGACTCATCTCCGGTTTTATACCCAGCGGGAGGAGGCTTGTGTGTGTGCGTTTGCGTGAGAGAGAGAGACGGTTTGAAGAGCGTGCATCTGTACTTGAATCTGCGTTCAGGAGTTGTGCACAAGTCTTGCTTCTACGTGATGATGATGTGAGTGTGAATGTGTGTGGAGGGGGAGAGGAGAGGAGAAGAGAGGAGAGGAGGAGGGTGTGTGCTGTCACAACTGGGAACATTTAACAAGTCCCCAGACGATTCCAGCTTAATTGATTCAAGGCTAGAGCCACTTCAGCCTCTTGTGTGCCATCTTCAACTCGAAAAATATGGATAAATTGCTCCATCCGCTAATGATCGGCGCTAATAAGCGGACATAATATTCTTTAGAGGTTCTCCGGGCGATTATGTAGAGTAGGTGGCCACAATGCACTTCCGAAAAAAAAATCACACAGGAGGCAAATGCCCCACTTACACCCCATTAATCCTGCTGACATCTGACTCGCAGCATCACCATCTGCATCCACATGTCAAGTCCTGGTTTTGTTTTGTTGTTTTTTTTGTGTGTTTGCTTGCAGGTATAGATGCCACACACTCATCCAACACAGAGCTCTGACTTTGAGGAGGTAAACAACAGCCACTCCCCCCTTCTTCTAAAGCCAGCTAGATCTGCACAGCACGAAGCAGCAGCAGCAGCAGCAGCAGGAGGAGGAGGAGGAGGAGGAGAGGGTGAAGGAGGCAGAGAGGAGTTGCTCTAATTCCTTGATGTGTGCATGTGTGTGCTTGCGTGCTCAGCCTTCCTAAAAGCTGCACCGCTCTCTCCTCCCTGGCTTCCTCTGCCCCCTTTTTTTTTTTTTTTTTTTTTGCTGAGAAACCTGCAGATCCCTGGAGACTGTGAACATTGGGGTGCCACCACCCACCCACCTACCTACCTAACCCTGCACCCGACACCTCTTGCACCCTACACCCAACTTCATGCTTCACACTACACATTCCCTGCATCCACACACAAGTTGAAAGTCACATTCCTGGTGCAAATGAGCCTATTTGTTGCAATTACGCACGAAAAATACGCACACTTGGACACTCTCCAAGTACCAAACACTTGATTCCCACTGGGGCTTGTTTGCAGCACAACGTGTCCAAGTCTAAACATTCATTCCTCTGCGTGCACATGTTTCTAAAGGGTTATTTGGAGTATTTTTTTTTTTTTACGCGTCCTCGACCCACATGCACCGCTCAGGCACAAACACCGCCGCTGACTGTGACTGACAAGTCCGCTTCAAAAGTGCGTACGGAGCCGCTGCTGCTAGCCTAGCACTGGTAGCACTAGCAGCAGCAGCAGCAAAGTGGACTTCAGAGGTCCTGGCTGCAACACTTTTCACATTTCCATCCACAAATAAGTATTTATTTTTTTTATTTTTTACCTTGATTGCAGTCAGCTTCTGGTACAGAGACGTCCTCAGTCCTGAACGCAGGCAGGCGATTCCCAGAGATTAGGAGATCATTGGGAGCCAGGCACATGTAGTTTAACAGTGGAGCTTTTTGGGGACTAATTCAGTTTTGCCCACTCGGTGCCCCTGGCAGGCTGCTAGCAGTGCTGCTAAACGGCCCCCGCGACTCCTGGTCCACGTTGGGTGACAGGACCGTCCCTTCCCCTCCCCTCACAGTGCGTGTTGACAGCGCGTCAGCTCTGCAAAGCCCCGACGACCGAGTCCAAATCCGAAATAAAATCCTCCCCCTCCAAAAAAAAAGTGGCAGCCACACTGAGATACAGCCTTTTTTTTTTCTCCCAAGTCAATAACAAGCCGCTGGTCCTGCTGCTGAAGCGGGCTGCGAGGTGCGCACAACACAGCGCTCACAGGAAAGCATGTCGCATTTTGCAAAAAAAAAAAAAAAAAAAAAAAAGCCCCAAACGTGGTGTCAAAAATCCGACTGTTTTCCTCTCGGGTGCCAGCGGTAACGGGAGGAGGGGACGGAGCAGCAAGCAGGAGGAGGTTGTGGTGGTGGTGTACAGAGAGAAAAAAGGGTGCTTTATTTCCAAACGATGAGTCAGAAAAGATTGCAAGCCAGTTTCGCAACGTCCCTCCTTCAAAAATAAAACATACAGCTCCGTCCGCTCGTCTTCACTTGCTGCCGTTTCGCTCCGCTTCCACTCCTCTGGCCCGGTGTACGTGCACACCGCTCTGCACAAATGCACAGGCGGGTCTTGTCTTGCAACCTCTCCCCCCACCCCCACTAAAAAAAAAAAAGACAACACGGAGAAAAATCAGCTCTTATCATCAGCTTGAAAACTCTTTTGGCGCCATATTTATGGCGTACTTTCAATTCACTGTTACCGCAAACTGCACTTCCTACTCTGACAAATGCTAGATTACTGCGCCTCGGAGAGGAGAGGACGGGGATTGAACCTTCACCTGCTGCCAATTCTCTGTCAGAGACTCACTCTGTGGTACAAAGTGACAGAAATCTACATCAGCATGCACAGTAAATTGACATAATTTTCCTTAAAAAAAATTAACAGACTTTTTAATTAGTGGATGACTCAATCATGCAATGCACAGTGCATTAGATCTGAAACATGATAAACTTTCAAGTAACATTTTTTTCTAACTGTTAAAGGATTCACTTGCACAAATAAATAAGTTAAATATCTGCAAAGTTTTATTAAAAAAAATAAAAAAGCAACTGACACCTTAAACCACCTAAAACAGCTGAAATGACTGAAACTCTATTTATTCATATAACCAGAAAAACTATTTAAAAGTGATGTAAAAGTGCAATGCACAGTGCATCACATCCTAAATATGTACAACATGTTAAACTTTAACCTTTATTCTGGTTCTTTAAAAATAGTAGCTTGACTTGCACAAATAAGAAGTTTAAGAAACATCTGCAAAGATCTTCAAAAATGAGCTGTTTATTGATGAGTGATGCCTAAAACAGTTTCAAATGACTATTTATTCATATGACTGAAACAATAGGACTCAGTCATGCAATGCACACTGGATCAGCTGTGAAACGTTTAATAAACATTTATTCTAGCCCTATGAATTCACTTATTTTCATTAGATATATCTACAAATGTTACACGGTTTTAGCTGTTTTCTGGAAAGTGGCACCACCTTAAAATCACCCCAAACAGCCTAAATGACATGAGCTATTTGGTGACTGGAGTCCTTTTGTATGAGGAGAATTAAGTTTCAAATACAAACTTGAAATTTGTAGTGGCACTTTTAAAAGCGATGCTTAATTATTGCCAACTCCATTAACTACTGTCAAAGTAACTGGCAGCTGCAGCTTCAGTTTGAAGTGAGGGCCTGTATCTGCACTTTACTGTAAGTGATAATATCTCTCCACCAGTGATTGATTTGCGCACAGTGATCCAAAGGGAATGGTTGGCAAGTAAATTACCTTCCTTCACATTTTCTCTAAAATCTATATTTAAAGGGGAAGAGGGTGTTTGATCAATGCGTAATCTACTACCATCCACTGTCTCTAAATCACTGTCCTCTGCCTGTTATCTAACACAACTACATTTTCTTGCACTTTTTTCTGACTTCTTTGCAGCTATTTCACAAACAAATCAGTCTTCATTTTCTCCGCTTTTTTTTTTCCCAATGTGGAGCTTTTGTGTGCACCTCTGCAGTGACAGACAGTGGCTCATATCAACTGTTTGGATTCATTTTGGCTCAGCTTCCTGATCCAAAATGTCTGGTCAATACACATGCATGCAGAGCCAGGAGGCATACTAAAAATTAAGGTCATTGGGATGAACAAATGGGACAATTTGACTTTTATGAAACACACAGACCTGCATGTTATACACACACACAAATAGGCAATGATGGCAGGTGCACAAATGCTCATTCCAGCAGTATCATGTGTCACTCAGAAAGTGGAGATAGAGAGAGAGAGAGAGAGGGAGAGAGGAAAAGAGGGTGTGATGCTGTTTTGCACAAAGTGAAATGAGGCGGTGAAGGACACAGAGGAGGGATTTCTCTGGCACACATTCAAATGCAACAGCAGCATCCCACAGTTTTTTTTTTTTTCTACCCTCCCTGCCTCCCTCCCTTCCCCTCCACATAATACAGGTAGGTAGTGTCCCCCGAGGAAACAGCCTGTGACCCTCTCCATGGTCGTTTTAATGTGCACTAATGCAATTTCCTGGCTGATGAGATGCACACACCATGTTTGTTTAGGAGGCAGATCTAGGTCAAATTGTAGTTTTTCTATTTAATCTGCTCGGTGCATCACATGGGTGGGGTTTTCAGTTTTAAGGGGTTAGTATTAATGAGTCAGGTTAACACAGGCTTCAGAAAGTTAAGCTTAAGGAAAGTTAAAGGAGGAGGGATTTATTGCAATGCTATTGTGCTTACATTTTTTCCACTAGTAAAATGTGAGGTCCTTCTTTGGGCAACATGTTGACATAAAGCTTTGGAGAACGCTTTCTTAGCCAGACGTTCAGCAAAGCATATGGATTTCATTTAATAAAAGAATAATCTCCCTTTTCTTAATCCTCCTGGCTCATTACTTTTACGGTTATTACTGTCTTTTCTGTTCTGTACTTGCAAAACGAAACAGTTCAAGTTTGGACATTTTACGTTTAAACTTTCATCTGTCGTGCAGTACCGTCAGGGAGGCATCTGATGGGCCACAAATTTATTCAGAAGCACATTATAATGGCCTTAAACACACAGCCGGAGTCATAAAGAAGTCTCTTCAGCGACAAAAAGAACAAGGAATCCTGCACCATATGGTGTGGCCCCCGCAGACCGAGATCAAGTCAGCCTGGGATTACAAAAGAGACAGAAGCAATTGAGACAGCCGAAATCCACAAAAGGAGCTGCACAAAGTTCTCCAGGCTGCTTGGTACAGCCGACCTGCTAAGTAACTTGAAAAAAGGTAAAAACATTGATGCTGTGTTAAAGGCAAAGGATGCACATTCTTGAGAAGTGAATTGATGAATAAACACTTTAACTTGCATTATTTTTTTCAATGTATCCTTTCATTATTTTTTGGGCCTTGTACAATAAAAGAGTTGTAGAAGTCAAATAACACATAATATTGCCCAGAAAAGCACAATGTTGGCGCAGTGGTGCAGTCGCAAAGAAAAATTCAGACACTTAAAGTAAAAAATTGAAAAAAAGCATCTCTTATACTAAAAAAAAAAAAAAAAAAAAAAGTTAATTACGAGCAATATTACCTTCTGAAATGTATGAGAGTACATACAGTTGAAACCAGAAGTTTACATGCACTGTATAAAAAAGACATAAAAAACCTTTTTTTCCCCCTCACTGACATTAAATCAGACTAAACTTTTCCTGTTTTAGGTCAGTTAGGATGACCAAAATTATTTCTATTTGTTAAATGGCAGAATAATGAGAGAGAGATTTTTTTAAAAAATTATTTTCTTCAAAGTCAGAAGTTTACATACACTAAGATTACTGTACCTTCAAACTATTTGGTAAAGTCCAGAAAATGACAACATGACTTTGGAGGCTTTTGATAGGTTAATTGACAACATCTGAGTTCATTGGAGGCACATCAGTGAATGTATTTTAAGGCACACCTCAAACACACTGCTTCATTTTGTGACAACATGGAAAATCTAAAGAAATCCGCCAAGATATCAGGAAGAGAATTGTGGACCTCCACAAGTCTGGTTCATCCTTGGATACAAGTATAAACACTATGGGAATGTCTTGCCATCAACCCCAGAACAAAAGCAAAACACCTTGTGAAGATGCTGCTGAAGCTGGTGAGAGAGTGTCATTATCCACAGTGAACCGGGTCCTGTACCAAAATGGATTTAAAGGCTACTCAGAGAAGAAGAAGATATTACTCTAAAGCAACATAAAAAGCCAGATTACAGTTTGCAAATGCACACAGGGACAAATGTCCTGTTGTCTGATGAAACGAAAATTGAACTGTTTGACCATAATGACCATCGTTACATTTGGAGGAAAAAGAAGGAAACTTGCAAGCCTGAGATCACCATCCCAACTGTGAAGCACGGGGGTGGCACTATCATGTAGTGGGGGTGTTTTGCTGCAGGAGGGACTGATGCACTTCACAAAATAGATGGAATCATGAGGAAAGAACATTTTGTGGAAATATTGAAGCAACATCTCAAGACATTAACCAGGAAGTTAAAGCTTGGGCACAAATGGGTCTTCTAAATGGACAATGACCCTTAACATACCGCCAAATTAGTTACAAAGTGGCTTTAGTACAACAAAGTCAACGTTTTGAAGTGGCCATCACAAAGCCCTGATCTGAAAATTTGTGGGCAGAGCTGAAAAGGCGTGTGCGAGCAAGGCAGCTTACAAACCTGACTCAGTTACACCAGTTCTGTCAGGAGGAATGGGCCAGAATTCCAGCAAACTAGAAGCTTGTGGAAGGATAGCCAAAACGTTTGACCCAAGTCATACAATTTAAAGGCAATGCTACAACACTACAAAGCAATGTTAACACTAAAGAAATGTCAACTTCTGACTAACCCTAACCCTAACCCTAAACTAAAATATCTAGTTAGGAAGACATTACCGCAAATGTACCTTTATTTACAGTTAGCTAGCAATTTATATTATCCTCACACAACATTATATTAGCCACCAGCTAAGCCACGAATGAGCCGCCTTAGCTTGTGGCTAAAGCTAAGCTAAAATTTTACGCTAACTCCAGCTCATCCAGTAGGTATTGACTATGACCATCCCCAAATATGTTTCTGATAGCCAGGTATACAAGTTGAGGATATACAATATTTTTAAAGCTTACTCAATCTTAACTTTTTTGTTTGTTTATTTTACTTTACATTTCAGTAATTTCCAGCTACTGACATTAGCTTGCTAAACTGTACGTTAGCTTAGCTTGTCGTCAAAGTTGCAGGCACTGCAGCAACATGTCTGCTGCACAGTGCAGAGACGTTTCAAACAGTTTAGTTTGTGAGCTTCATCCCAGCCAGCCTTTAAAGCGTACAAACAGGAAGATTTAAGCAAATGTACACTATTATTTGGGTCATGAAGCAGGCTATGTTACTCCTGCTGTACTAAGTTTTGATCCACATGTCAATTTTTAGTTTTAAGACATTGTGCGTCTTACAGGGCAGCTTTTCAGTGGTGCTCTATCATTGAGTGTCACAGTATTAGTCATCAAAATCTTCAACAATAGACCTTTATCACAGCTGACATGTCAAAACAGGAAA